AATCAAAAACAATACATAAAAAATACATAAAAAGCAAAACATTTCATCCACATTTTAAAAAGAAAATTGTTCTAAAATATATGCATTTTGTATTTGACAAACAGTTCATTCGACAAATGAAAACTCACAGGAATATGTTTCAGCTATTAGAACAGAATGATATAGTTTTTATAATACTAGTTTAAAAACACACTTCAAAGATTGCAGTGTTTGAAGATGTAGATTCTCAGGAGGCAACAGTACTGTTGACTTCCTTCTCCACTGGACACCAACTATTTAAGTTGATTTGCATACAAAGCAGAGCTTGCAACATGATAGCTATTCATAAAGGGTGTTTTTTTTTTTACTTTTCATATAATACAGTAGTCACACAATGAGGCAGTTCATATTTGTTACAGTGAATCATTAATTTTTGACAGACACCTGTAAAAAAATACTTGGACAAAAGCCAGCTAAGATTTTCTGTTATCTTGCATGTTTTAATGCAGCACTTTTTTTTTGCGATGAGGCATTTGTTTTTATACTAAAATATCTGAATTACTTTGAATAATGCTGGAAATTATGTCCCTTAAAATAATTAAACAAATAAGGCACCAATGTTTTTGTAAGATATTTACATCTTTAAAGGACATTCGGTAGACTGATTCCCCACTGTTGGTTCAACCCCAAAACTTGTTTGTATTCAAAATTAATTATGACAATGCATATTCATATTGAAACAAACTATGATAAAGCGAATTATATTATATAACAAAGGGCAAGGTCACCAGAGTTCAACTATGTTCTTGTATTATGATTATATGTGTATGATAATCCGTAGAACTTATGCAATTCTGTCTCTTTGTTATATAGCTTTGGAGTCGAGCCTTCTTAGAAACATTTGCAGCACCTGGTTCCACTGCTGGAAGTGGTAGTAGTAGTAATAATGTTGCAGCTGAAGACAGCAGTTCCTCATCTTCCTCGTCATCGTCAGGTGAAAACCAAGATAACAGAGAAACAGAGAGGGTGGAAAGGGAAAGAGAAAGGGAAAGAAGGCAAAGGGCTTTTCCAGGGCCTGGTACAAGGATATCATTTCGCAGATCCAGTTCAAGAAATGACCGAGCTAGAGCAATAGATGTGTAAGTACATATCTTTTCATGGTTACACATTTCATTTTTGAGATGGTACCATATGGTTTTACCATTATGCTGCACACTGCTCAAGGAGTGTATTTACAAAAACGACTCTTATGAGAGGAGAAACATATTTATTATTAATTGTAATTATTTAGAATTAACTATTTACCACACATTCAACTACACTCTATATCTATGTATATCTAGATTCTCAACAAGCAAGGTAGTAATAGTTACACTATGTTCTTTTATTAGGATTCTCCAACAATTATTAGGTGGCTTAGGTGGTGCTGCAGTATTTCAGGCTGGCCCAGCTGGTTTTCCAATGTAAGTTTTGGTAGTTTTAACACATTTTTGTCCTATGTTCATCTCTCATTGTCATATCAAAGAACCAAACCAATAAAAATATGTTCACTTCTGTGGATGATCATTTATTATTCATGATTGTAGCAATAGGTTAAAATCTGGTTGTCTGAGCTTGTAGCTAGAAATGTTGTTTTTGATACAGATCAAGAGATACGTGTAGCATATAGCCTTCTGAGTATATTTATATAGATCAAGTCATTGATAACTTGAGATTTAATTTTTCTTAAGTTTAGTCACTTTTTAAGTCACATCCATATCTTAGATGTTTGGTACAACTGCTACCCAATTATTTTACTATTTTTTTCTTGCAGAGCAGGGAACATCCAGTAAGTACCTTGCTTGAACGTCTTGTGTTGTTAGTGTGCCAAACGGTATGACATCACATGTACCATTTCCCCAGTCTCTGTAAACATGTATTTTCTTTCTAGTTCCCATGGCCTCATCAAAAAAAAAAAAACTTGTAAATAATTTTCTTTTTTCTTTTTATCAGATAATGTAATGAGATATGTTTATTGGTTCCTGGATACTGTCCATGTTTATTTCTGTTCTTTCCTGGTAAATTATGTACATATTATATGTATTGCACTTGGCTCACATGCTGCTCTAATTTGTAGTGATATCTGTTTTTCACAGACAAATGTTTAATCTCCACGGCAATCCAGCAGACTATGCATGGGGTGCAGGCGGCTTAGACTCAATAATTACACAGGTATTAATATTTTTGATTATATGTCCATACAAATTTTTTTTTTTGTTGGAATTAAAATTGCAAAATGAATTGGATCGTCATTGATTTCCACAACACGCTTTACAATGACGAAACAGAAATGTTAACAAAAAATATTCACATTTTATTGCAGTATTATTTACTTACCATCATAATTTACAGTGTAAAATTATTAATGTCTGTGGGGAAACTGGCGAAGTCAAGAGATTTATCATTGTCTTCATTGAATGTTTTCAATTCTGAGCAAATTCTTGATGCAAAGCAATTTCCACCATTGTGTTTTCTCCCATGTTTGACCTGCAACACTGTCCTTTGAATGTTATTAATCAATTAAAATACAGTGTTGTGCTTGCTGAACAATTCTCTATGAATTTCCAAAGGCATTCTGGTAACACTGTGCGGACGTAATTATGTACCGTATATGTATGATGTTTTTTTTTTTATTTCGGCAAAAAACAGTTCTCGCATTGTTTACCATGCTCTATGCATTCGTAATGTGGCGATATGCTCAGGAGTCGATATCCACGATGTATTATAAAAATTTGATTACCAGTATTCGGAAAAGTCAAACAATGCTCAAAGACCAGGTTTTATGATTAGTCAGTCAAATTTGTGGCGATTAGCCAAACTTGAACCCGAAGATAGAAATTCCCCAAAGTGGGTGGGGTGCTTAGTTGATCATGGACGCTTAGTCAGACAAGTACGATTGCTCATGCAACAGATTAGGTGTCAGTAAACTTTAACTGATACTCCAAGTTGGATATTCTCAAACACATTGTATGTTCAGGGGTTTCGTTAAGAGCCGGCCGCTGGCCATATGGCCTGCTACAAGCCCAAATTGGCCGTCTACTTTCTGCCCCCTCGACTGCCTACGCTGGCCTTGCTGCAGCGCTTTGCAATGCCGAGAGTCTTTTTATTTATTTTTTGGGCCTGTTGTCACAGGAAGATGGCCTGCTATTAAATGCATTTGTGAAACCCTTGATGTTATTCACTTGTACATGTTCATATTTGACATGTACGCTTCATTCTCATTAAGGTAGCAGGATAGTTTTTTTGCATGAAAAATGTAAACACCTATAATCCGAATAATTTTTACAAGAAACCATACAATCTATATATGTTTGGAAAGCTCTTGACTTGTATTTTCTTATTATTAATATTTTGTGAACATTGTGTTTGTTTTAGCGTCACGTAATTCTGGAAATCAGCGGGGCTGATAATTTAACTAACGTGAATTAAATTTTAATTGTCATCTCTACAGTCATTCATGCGATCAAAAACTTTACACTGTTTTGAAGCAAAGGTCATGAAGTTTAAATCCGTATTTCTATTTTTTGCATTAAGTTTTTTTTTCTTTCCGAAAATCACAAATTTCAAGCACGTTTTTTGATGTTAAAGTTAGAGTATACCGGTGGTTTGCGCGAGGTTTGTGAAAAAACGCAATAGAATTTTGCAAATATGTAAATACAGATATGAAGCCAACATATCCAAGAGTAAGAAAAGCTAAACGGGGACATCGTAGCGCTATTCACTGAAACGCCATTTAAAATTAGGTCAACGGTAATTGGCAAAAACCGAACACCGAGAAATCGGCACTTTTATGATTTCAAACTTCAATCAACGTTAACTCCCGTTTTAGCAGCAAAATTTACATGGGCTAATTGTAAATGAAATGCTTTGAAAGTTGTTTTCGAGAAAAATCATGAACCGACATTTATATCTGTGAAAACTTTGTTTTTTGGCCGTTTTCTTTCACGCTATGGAGTTTGTGACGGTCTGTGCTGATAACGAACGGTGACGTCATTCATTAAGGCT